TCGAGAGCCCACTCCGCCATATCCGGATTCTAGACAGGGCATGAAACGACGGGCATCCTCACCTCCGCGTGAGCCGATGAGTGACGATAGACATGCATTGCACGTCGCTACAAGCAACGGAGACTTGTCGCAGCGAAGACTCGGTGGTCATCCGTTTACCAACACATTATCGGTCAACCCTAACTACCCCATGAGTCAACGAACCCTCTCTGCCGCCTCATCTTTAAGCATCCGGACCTCGGGCTCGTATTCGTCTACGTTGTCTATTGGAGGTAGCAGTATGACCAGTCTTTCTCCGTACGACCGGCCATCCCCAGGTGGTTTTTCACCAAGCTCCGATCTCGATACTTTCCACGAAAAATCAATTCTCAACCCCAGTTCTCCTGCGGCGCTATCTCAGGTTACTCTTCCAAGACTCCCAGGGCCTGCGTCTTTAGAACCGCCCGCGACGGACGCCACTGGAAAGATGTCCGTGCCGACAACTATTATGAATATGCCAAAGCCGGCCGCGCCGAAGATCGGCGGGCTATTCATCTGCGATTGTTGTCCAAAGAAACCGAAAAAATTCGACAACCCAGATGGCCTACGGTGAGCTGACGTCGAAATGTCTTCATTATATAAGCCGTACTAATTTTAAAATAGTGCACATGAGATGGAGAAACAGTACGCATGCGCCTACTGCAACCACCGCTTCAAGAACAAGAACGAAGCCGAGCGTCACCAAAACTCCCTCCACCTCCGACGCCATTCCTGGTCCTGCGCCGCGCTCCTGAGTTTCCAAGCAGCATTCCACCCCTCAGGCGCACAGTCCTGTCAAACAAATGCCGGAGCTACCCACGACACATGCGGCTACTGCGGGGAGGAATTCGCGAATTTCCCTCAGGCAGACTGGGATCGACGGTTCGAGCACTTGACTACCGTGCACAAATTCGGCGAGTGCAATAATTCTAAGAAATTCTTCCGCGCAGACCACTTCCGACAGCATCTAAAGCATAGCCATGCTGGCACCAGTGGAAAGTGGACTAATATTTTGGAAAATGCTTGCATGAAAGAAGAGCAGCCACCGGAGCGTCGCGAGCCGAGGGGACCTAAGGATAAAACTGCTTCTGGACCCCAGACTGGGGGGTCTTTGACGTCTAATGCCATATCGGAAGTTCTTAGCGAGCAATGACAATCAATACGTCGTGTCTCCCTTGATCGCGGATATATTCTGCCTTGTAGCGCCTAGCTACAAGACGGTTCCCGGCAAGCGGCTCTGTGCTGTTAATTGCATTCCTCGTTAGTTCATACTCCGGGGTGTTGGATGGTATCTTCTCTGTTGGAAAACCGAGACTCTAAACTCATTCGCATCTATCGATGGGTGAAAAATGAGAATCTTACATCTCCATCACATACCTGTTATAAGAAGACAGCATCACCTCAACATCGCTCAACCAACACTCTCACTCTCACCACACCCCGGAATATTTCATCATCTCTCACAAACAAAAACACCAAAAATACAAAAACTTCTCAAATTCATACTAGAAAAAGGCAAAGTGAAAACAAGACACTTACCAAAAAGCCAGCTAAGACACAAAAAAAGCCTGGAATCACGACCCGAAACGAACATTTTTTGAAATTTTTCCTTTTCCACGGAAGGAGAAGGGGGGCAAAGGGAGTTATAGTCGGGAACTGGATTTTTTTCAGTTGGATCAAAACCTCTGTGTATACCCTTGCATTGAAATAGCCTGGGAGGATTCATATCATTCTCATCTCATTTTTACATGGAGTCGGTTTCATGATTGGTTCGTCAACTGGGTGGACTGGAATACTGGAATACTGGATGGAATCATTTGCGGTTTGTGTCTATTTTGGTTTTTTTTTTTTGTTCTTCTATGCTCTTATATATATATTCCCCGCCCGTTTTATACATACTTTTGGATGGAACTGTGAGGCGAATGGAGGGGCGTTGTATATAGATTCTTTCCTCTTTGCATGGTAGCCTTTACAAAATATATGGCTTTTAGCCTCTTATCATTCTTATATCTTTCCAAGCTCTGCTAGTAGATTTCTCAGTATTGATTACTATTTGATATACAGAAACACAGAGTAATGTTCAACTAGAAAACGGCACAAGAAAATTTCAAACACGAAACCCCGAAACGATCTAAATCTAATAAGAAAAATGCCTGGCCCAACTCGGAAATCAAAAGAAACCACCCAACCAATTCCCATCTACTCAGTAACACTATCCTTAATACTCCGCAAGGCACTCGTCTTATGCGCAGGATCAATAGCAGCAGCATTCTGCGCCCGACGACGGGCATCAGCCCAAAGCATGAACTCTCCATACCCCTTCGGCATAACCTGCACATCCTTCTCAACAAGGAAAGTGTAGTTAAACATACCCGTGGACTTCTTCGTACCGTGCTCGACATCCCGAACCTTGGAGTCAACACGCACCTGCACCTTAGTGTACTTGGTACTATCACCCTCTCGCTCCTCGGGCTCCGTGTATGAGACCGTCGCGCGCAGGTACAGCACGCTGCCTACGGGGACTGGGTTCTCGAAGGTACTGGGATCGAGGGCGACGAAGTTTGGTCGGGCGTGTGCGAAGGATGCGGCGCAGCAGAAGGCTAGCTCGAAGGTCTGTTTTAGTAGGAAGCCACCGAAGATCATGAAATTGTGGCGGTTGCGGTATTGCGGTTGCATGATCATGGCGGATTTGAGGACGGTGTCGCTCATGAAAGCCTGGTTTGCGGGGCGTGTGGCTGCGTTTTGGGGATCTGGAGGAGGTTAGTATTGAATCTAGCGGATGTAGTGGGTAAAAGGGTTCCTGGGGCTTACTCAGGTAGGACATCTCCTTTGTCCACATTGAGTGGATCAGGTTGCTCTCTTCGTCATCGGGAGATTTCTCCAAGAGACTGCGTGTGCGATGGGCCTTTTTGGCTTTGTAATTTGCTTCGCCCTTTTGGAAGAGGCGCTTTTCCTCTTCTGTTTCAACGATAAGAGGAGCCACTGGGACAGGCCTAGTCATGTGATGTTAGTTTGAGTGTATTGCTCGATAAATGGGAGGAACATACGTCTTGGTAGCTGGGTCCAGTGAGACCATTGTGAAAGCACAAGTGATCAGGACATCTTCAGGCTTCGCCTCCTGTCCCTCCGGGCGGGCCTTGGTGACCTGAAGTGAAATTTCCATACTTGATCGACCTGTCGCATAGGTACATTGGCCGCTGAGCTCAAGGTCACAAATTTCCATCAGCGGGTTCTCAATGGTGATTCGGTCACACGCCGCAGTGACAGTGGATACACCGTCACCCGTGTGACGGTAGGCAACGATGCCAGCTAGGGCATCGAGGTCCATTAGAAGTGAGCCCAATCTAGTCGGAATGATCAGTCAAATGCTCCTTTGATAGGTAGGGTATTAAAGACGTACCTAATATGCCCGGAGGCATTGAGATAAGAATCTAAAAGCCATTTGTCTTGGGCCAAAGGCAAAATCTACCGGCCAGTTAATGTCAACATACTGATTTTGACCTCACGAAATCTGAAACAATATACGTACAGCACTGTAATAGCTATCCGACATCTTCTTTGGTGAGATATCGCGCTTGACGCTTTGCCCAGCATTTACCTGCGGGCCAGCCTTCTCAGCCTCGCGACTCTGTGTCAATGCATCGATCCATGGCGTCTTGACACGCATGGGCATCCACGTGTGCCGGGAGTCTGCCTGAGACGGCGTGGAGTGAAAGTCCTGAGTGTTGATAAAGGATGGCTGAGCTGCGACTGCGGCTCGCGCGGGCAGCGCAGCCAAAGATTTTGAGCGAGCAAGCGCTGATCTTCTACTGAGGCCAAGCATTTTGATGTCAAGGAACAGTGAAGCAAAAATGAGATACAGGCGTAGCCGCGTAGATATGCCGGTAGATTGTACTCCGTACTAAAAATGACGATGTCCCGAGGACCCGATGTATACCGACAGCCGTAGGGGCCAAGAGAGATCTAATTGCACAGTGGCTTGGCAGAAAGTGACCGCCCTAGTCACTAGACTTTCATAATCAATTTCCTGGCAATTTCCTTAGTTCACTTAGATTTATTTGAATTGAAGTTGGTGCTAGGAACTAATTCTCTTGGCAAAATGCACTAAATCTACATATTCTATTGTATTGAAGTGGGAACTCATAAGGCTATATGTTGTGTCTGCTATGGCCACTGTACTTTGCCGTAAGGTCTACCCGATCTGGTTAGCCCCCGGGGATTCTCGGCCCGGAGACGAAAAGCGATGTCATCACTTCCGATTGGGGGGCCCAGGGGTTGTTATGTTTTGAGTGGATGCTGTGTGTATGTTGTAGCTAGGGTGACCTCCAACGCAAAGTGTAGCGTACAAATACTTGAAATTAGAGAGTCACAATCCGGCGACTCGACTCCGGAGTCATTAAAGCTGCGGTAAAACGAACCCCCTGTTAGCATACATATATATATAAGCATACTACGAATCGTCCTTATGGGTTTTGCAGCTTTGAAGGAGGGTTCCTTTTGTATTGTGCTAGATGGGGTCTTACGAGCTTTCAAGGTTGAAGTTCAATACGCTCAACTGCAAGCTACTTTTTTGTTTCACTTCCTTGTATAAAGGGAGAAGGAGATACACGCCATAGCTTTTGTATTGGAGTTTATTTAAGCCTAACCTGATGTACTCCGATAGCCAAACAACGTCAGAATGAAGTCATTCATAATCTATTTATAACATTCACTTAAAAGGCAACTAGCTCCTGTATTATTGTATCAATTCAAATTACTATATTGATTGGAAGGACCTGGAATCAAAAGATCATCTTTTTATAACATGAGTGACCCAACCAACCCACATATCAAAGAGCGCACCACTCCTCAATGGGGCCTTTACCAGCGAGAGAACTTCTGGAAACAGAATGAAGGAACAACACCACTCTTCAATACTGGCAAGTCTTCACTTCACTTCTTCCAAACCTACAGAAACCCTAACTTCTACAGACCCCCAAAAAATGGAAGAAAGAGCCAAAGAGAAGCTGAGCGAGGGTGGCTGGTACATACTACCTCCCCATAACACCAGACCAGCGATATCCCAAGACACATAGACTAACCCCCGAGTCCCCCAAAGGTACTACGCCTCCTCAAATGCAGGAATGTCACACACACACCTCGCAAACCGACAAGCCTTCTACCGCCACCGACTTATCCCAAACCAACTAATCGACACCAACAACCGCTCAACAAGAACAACGATCTTCAACCACTCAGTATCTGCCCCAATCGGCTTCGCCCCAATCGGAATAAACAAAATCTACCATCCATCCGGCGAAGCCGCTGTCTCAAAAGTCGCCAACGAGCTCAACCTCCCCTACTGCCTCTCGACAGCGGGCAGCACCTCGATTGAAAAAGTTGCATCGGCAAATGGACCTAAAGGGACAAGGTTCTTCCAACTGTACATGCCACACGACGACGAGCTAACCATCTCACTCCTAAAACGGGCCTGGGAAAACGGGTTCGACGCACTGATTCTCACGACGGATACATGGCAGCTCGGCTGGCGACATGACGACGTCGCGACGTCGAATTATGCATTCTACCGCGGATTCGGCGCTGATCTTGGACTTTCGGACCCTGTTTTCCGGAAGAGATGTGCCGCAGACGGAATTGATCCCGATGTTGATGTTGTTTCTGCGTCGACGAAGTGGATTGATTCTGTTTGGCATGGACGGGCTTGGTCGTGGGAGAAGATTCCTTGGTTGATGGAGACTTGGAGGGGCATTAGTGGAGGACGGCCGTTTGTTATTAAGGGGATTCAGTCTGTTGGTGATGCGAGGAGGTGTGTTGAGCTTGGGGTTGAGGGGATTGTTGTGAGTAATCATGCTGGGAGGCAGGTTGATGGGGCTGTTGCTAGTCTTGATGCGCTTGAGAGGATTGTTGACGCTGTTGGGGAGAGGATTTATGTTATGTTTGATTCTGGGGTTAGGGGGGCGAGTGATGTTGTTAAGGCGTTGGCGTTGGGGGCGAGGTTTGTGTTTATTGGTCGACTTTGGATTTGGGGGTTGAGTATTCAGGGCGAGGATGGGGTTAGACATGTTATGAAGTCGTTGTTGGCGGACTTGGATATTTTGATGAGTGTTGCTGGGTACAATGGGGTTGAAGATTTCAATCGGGATATTCTTGGTCAGTATCGACTCTGTTGTGATGTGAGGATGGATGCTGATTTTGAGATGCAGAGTCGGATCCGAAGAATTATACGCTCATACCGCAGAAGACCTTGTGAATGGAAGATATTTCGGGGTGGATGCTTTGTTTAATTTCATCTACAGTATCCTCTACCTTGTACACAGGGACAGCTTGTTACTCTACAACTACTACGAGACTCCTACATGTATCTGGTGAATACCTAGGTGACTAGCTCTACAATGAACAGGGATGTGATTAAACTTCCCCCCTCCCCCCCCAAATGTATTCCGTGAGACTCGTCAAGTGACTATGGATCCCCAAAAGCTCAGTCACTCGTCAAAGAACTCGCACGAGAAAGCCCTGTTTGATTTGGGTGCGGGACTGCATGGGCCTCAACAACTTGGTGATGTTGATGTCTTCATGCATGGGGCACCCATGTGCTACGGGACCCTCACCCAACACTGTCTCGAGAGATGGTGGTCGAGAGGGATGGGGGGAGAGGAAGAGAAGAAGAGAAGGAAGGGGGGTGGGTGCCTTTTTATACTCTCAACAACACGTACCTTCCTACAGTTTGCACCTGCCTTTCACTCGCCTGACTCGCACCTTCTCTGTTTGTCAATGTCACATGTCACCCTCTCAATTGATATGGGCAGTTCCTATATGAAGGTGTGCATTTATTACACATGGTTACAGTTGGAAGCTTTTTATTAAGAGATTGTGGCATCTTGCCAATAATATTGTAGACTTTTGTCTATCTGAATGAAAATAATAGCAGGTCATGTCCAGTTCAAATGAAGGATACATGTTGGATGTTCAACACGAAACGAGTGATATATGCAGCTAGAAAAAAGCCGAATAGACAAGGTGGCGTCAACATATGCTAGTATGAGTGGGTGATCGTATGTGGACCCGGGTGTATTAACAGAAGTGAAGTGATGTGCGTGTACAATAATCGACAATGTGCACGGAAAAGACGTGGGTGACAAGTGAGTGTACAGTAATACAAAGAGCAGAAATATGATTGCTGCCAAATCAAAAAAAAGCCAAGAAGTGAAAGATGGGCTAAAATGCGGTTCAAATAGCAAATGCGCCAAGCATGACCGCGAACATAGACCAGCTAATGCCGCGGATGAGGTGGGTTGCAGAACTGTCGAAGATTGTGGCCGTTGCTGACGGGGTCGATGATGACGTGGCGTCAGCAGTAGACGCAGCGGTGCCAGTGACTGGCGGTGCAGTGAATGTCCCATTGCCCTGGGACGTGGATGAGGACGAAGAGGATGAGGTTGAAGATGAATTCGAGTTCGACTTTGAGGCCGAGGCCGAGGCCGAGGCAAGCGCGCCGAAACCGATCTGTCCATTGTCGAAATCGAACACAGTGTAAACGTTTTTCAAAAAGACATCGCCGACGAGCCAGTTTGCACCGTTGGATGCATAGCCGACAATGGTCGAAATGCAGTAGTCCGAACCTTCTGACTCGGTGTTTCCGACATAGTCCTTAGGGGAGACGTTATATTTGACACCAGAGAACTCGAACTCTATGGTAGCAGTGGAGTTACATGGGATCAGATAGTTGTTCGGGTTGGAAGGCTGTTGAGATGAATGAGGGACGAGAGCAAACAGGGTTTTGGCGTCCGCAGGAGGGATCAGGAGATATGTGGTTCCAGTGTCGATGGTAGCGGATTTTCCGGAAAATTTGCAACTTTTTCCATTCACATAAGCATCATCCACGGGGATGCTCCAGATTTTGTCGTTGGTCGCAGTGTATGAGATGGTGCCATCGAATTTGGTTGTATCGACACCACCAAAGTTGATTTCCCCATCCTTGTTATTGTCTGCTGAGCGAGAGAGACTGAAACCAACTAGGTTTGACTTGATGAGCTTTTTCTCAGCTACAAGATCCATGAAAGATGGCAAATTCCACCCTTCAGTACGCGACCGACCCAGGCCCAGGATCCCGTCGAATGGGTAACTCTGAAAAGTTTCCGAGGCATTGTTTGCTAAACCGAAAGTTTGCGAGACTTCAAGCCCTCCAATTGAGAGGATGTCTTTCCCCATCTTTCCGGAGACCTGACCACTGCCGTAAAAGAGGCTGAAAGTCGAACCGTCGGTGGTGTAGCTGGTTGATGCAGACTTGTCGAACTTGTGATGACGTGTGCAGACAGGCTCGGTGCATTTCGAGTCGAAAACCCAGGTATTGGGTGCTCCAGTGTCGATTGCCATCCACATTTCTTGCTTTTGAGAACCTACTTGGACGGGAGAGAAGTATGAATAATCCGTTCCGTCCTGGTCCAACGGTGCACTGTTTGCCAATGACGGTTCACGGGACTCGACGATCTTATAGCCATCGTCGCGGCGAACGGGCATTTTTTTCAGGTCAAGGGTCCATGGTTTTGTGTCGGCTGTGTTGGATGTATCGGTGCTGTCGGTACTCTCGTCGGATTTCGGTTCAATCAACGTCCATGGAACAAAGCGACGTTCGACTGTAGTTTCCGTGGAGAGTTTCATCCGCAATTCCCATGGATAAAAGGCGTGCACGCCCGAAATGCCAGCAATGAAGACCAAACATGATGAGAAATGCATGATCCCTGGGGGAGTTTAGGCCAAAAATGTAGAAGTCTGCATTTGATGAACCGATGCTGGATTCAATTGGAGGTCTCTCTATTCAGTATAACCGCTGTTTCGCTGTATGGTGGAGCTCAGGGATTGAGGGCTCGAGAAGTTGAAGGACTGAATTAAGCGATAGACTGAAGTTAAAGAGAAAAACGAACACAAAAGACAGGGAATTAAATAATGAATTGTAAAAGGTCAGGGAGGTTGGAGAGACTCAAAATGTGCCCGTGAAAGATGTGAGGGGGGTGTGGCGGACATGGTCTCCACCGTTAAAAAACCCCCCTGACGAGAAGTAGGCAAGAACACCAGTTGGCTCTAAACTACAATCGGCTTAGTTCCTCACGGCAGGGACTTATCCTCCACTTGTCTAACGCTCATTCTAGAACTGATCGGCTGCTTCAATGAAGCTAGTGGAGTCCAAGCTTAATGTTCTTCTACATCAAGGAATTTGAACGGGTCATCATAGAATATTGATCTTGAATCTGAATCCTTCGACTATTTTTATACCTACTATTGACCGTGATTGCTGCATAAAATCCGGGGGTGTGAATGTATGGATGGTCTAAGAGTAAACCACATATGTAACATGGAACTAAGCACTTAAACAGCTAGACATTAAAGTCCTTCATGGGAACACACAAGGACGAAAATAGAAGTCGAAAAAGATAATTGAAGTAAAATCTTCAAATCCACAAAATGCGACCGTACTTTGCATAAACACTATTCGGGGTATATGTTGTATAAGGTCTAGACTCGCTGGGGTTACGCCTCCACTTGGGTCGAGAACATCTGATCCTGATAGCCCTGACAAACCACTTTTCTTTTGGACACTTATATCTCCTTACAAGTCACCGTTCACTGCGGAGTAAACTATTATTGATTCAAATACGGAGTACACGTACTCCGTATATTTCGACCTGACTCAATTAATTGGAAAGTATAATAATGGGAGACCTAAACCGGACCTATCATGCAGATCACGAGTCAAGTGTGGAGACTGACTCTGAAATTGAATCGAACACATCCAGGACTTTCATAGCTACATCACAAAGCTGTGCAGATGTCGAGGCGAATGGTGGCTCTGTCTTCTCAAACCAGATAGTCCAGATAGTCTATCATGAACCGAGCCCAGTTATCGCAAAGCTAATACTCCACATACCACATGTACATTAACTAGTTAAATAAGTCAAAGTACAGATGTCATCCAAACCCTACAAGTCTAAAAAGCTCTTGCACTTCAATTTTGGAAAGTCACCGCGTTGAACGTTTTAATTCTCTGAACAAAAGCCCACTACAGTAGTCACATGTGTAACAATTATTAGTACCTCGGTATAGATCGAAGTTTGGATATTGTTGGCAATATCTCAATTCGATACAAAGGTCATGATATTAGCTATCCCTCCCTCGAAATTCATATGTTGGGGTGGGTGCATGGTTACTGTATGGATTTGGGTCGGCTAAATAGGCCTGCTGAGAAGGGGACCTACTCGCGACTGGCCATATGTATAGTAAAATAATAGTAAAATAATAAATAAGCCCGAAGAACCCAAAGTCCCTAAAATACGACGACCCAAGGAAGCAGCACATTGTATACCCAAGGCTACCTCGAAGTATATCGACGTCGACATAATTATGCCAAGGCATAGAACCAGTAGATCGATACAAATCCAGCCACAACCCCTTGCAGCTCAAACAACCATAGAGCACCAGCCACATATAGCCGGAACGCTCAAAGGCAAACGAGAGTCATTGAAAATAAAGAGGGACCAATGACGCACACACCTAGCAAAATCCCAAAATCCCAAACTCATCGATTGATAAATCAATCAGATAATAACCCCAGCTCTCCCCGAAATAGCCCGAGCGGGACTCCGACCTTCCCCACGAAACACCCGAACCACATCCATCCCACCGATTCACCGGAAACTGGAAATTACGGGTGAAAATAAAAACATACCTCGGAACCGCAGAGATTTCCCCGCGGTGCTGGAGACACGGAAGAAAGGAGAAAGGAGTGGGCTGATTCGATTCTGCAACATGCTGAATTCGGTATCCTAGCCCCGGTTCTTCAGAACATGAATAGGCCGACGTCATTGTTCCCGAGCGACACAGGACTAGCGCTGTCGGGATCGGAGAATATGCAACGAATATCAATTGGGGTTATTTAGACACCTGTCTCGGCATGGCACATGCGTCCGATGGGCCGTGGTGCATTCGTCGGCGAGAATCGACATAATGACTCACTTGTCTGGAGCTGCAGGTGATCTGGTGACCTGGTGACCTCGGGTTAACGGTGCACTGAGATTAATATTATTAACGGTGGAGAGGAGGAGTTCCGGAAGCCCAGGTGGATCTGCTTTCGTAGATCATGCCTGGTGGGTATCGGATTGAGTGCCTCGGCATAACGAAAATTGCGGTGTTTCGGGGATTTTTCTATCTTTTTCCATTAGTGAGGGCATTGAGTCACCTGTGGGAATGTATTGGTGG